CAGCCTACTCCGTCCGGCTCCACTTCCGCCACAGCCACAAGGATCTTTCCGCTGGTGTCCGGCCACTCGGAGCACCCCTCCTTGCTGACCCGCAGCCACTTTACGAAGAGCCGTCAGCAGGCAGTCCGTCTTCACCTGCGCGGGTAGCGCGGCGGCGCGTCACGCAGTGCTCAAAGCCCAGCGTCGTTGCTGGGGCGGTAGGTGCCGTTGCTCAGCAGCCTCCGGGCGTAGACAAAGTCCTGGGCTTTGTGGAGGGCTGCTGCGACGCGAGACAGTTCTGCCTGAATTTGTTGCCGTACGTGGGGCTGGTACCCGAAGGTTTTGCTGGACCTCGGCGTCTGGCCTTCGCCTACGAGGGGGACACGGTGTGGGTCCGGCAGCACGCCGTCCACGGGCTCAACGCCGTCGGCCGGGCACAAGATCAGCAGGGAGAAGGGGGCGTTGGCCAGCCGTTGCGCCTGCAGCAGTGCCACCTGGCTGCGCGCTCTCTCTCTCAGCGTCTTCTCGCTGTGGCAGTCGCCGCACAGCGCCTGCAGAGTTTGCACGCTGCCCGCAAAGGCCTGCCGCACCGGTACAACGTGGTCCAGCTCGCAGGTGCCGGCCGTCAGCCCGCAGCCGCACGGGCGCACTTGCCGTCCTGCACGGCCAGGGTCTTCTGCCTCTCCGCCGCGCCGGACCTCGTTTCGCCTTGAGCAGCTTCAGGAAGATCTCGTGCGCCAAGCTTCTCCGGCAGCTCTCGGATTCTCGTACCCCGCCTCAGCCTGAGCCCGGCCACCTTGTGGCTCTTGCCGACGGCCATGAGCTGCCGCCTCGCCTTGCGCAGGTCCTCGCGCCAGAACAGCCCGGCTGCACGTCCGCGGCGTCAAAGCGCCTCCACTCTCCGACGGGCGGCAGGGTCTGCCTCGCCTCGCCCCGGTAGAGCACGCGCGCCGCCTGCCGCTCCAGCACCCGCTTCACGGCCCTGTACATGTAGCAGTGCCCGTCGAAGGCCAAGAAGCTTCTGGAAGACGATCATGTTGTCAATGACGCCCTGCTCCACCTCCTCCGTCCACAGCTCCAGGTCGGTGTTGCTTGCAAAGCACACTCCGACCCTCTTGGCCCCGTCGTCCTGGAAGTTGCCGGGCCCACAGCACCTCCACGTCAACCTTGCACACCAGCGCGCCCTGATGGGAGTCCTCTATGGACATGAATCTCCCTTGGCATTGGTCTGAACGTCCAGCCCGAGTGCAAGCTTCATGGTTGCGAAGTTCGGCTTTTTATCTCGTGGAGAAAAAATCCGGTCCGATGAACGCGCGAGTTTTCTTGGTCGTCGCACTGGCGGTGATCTTGCTCTTTAAAAATGCCGAGACTCCTGGAGCTTTTCTGCGGCACCAAGTCGGTGGACAGGGCCTTCGAGGCGGCGGGCTGGGAGGTCGTCTCCCTGGACATCGTGTCGAAATTTGAGCCCACAATCCTGTGCAACATCCGGAGCTGGGACTACACGACGTTTCCGCCGGGGCACTTCGACATGGTTTGGGCCAGCCCGGTCTGCACGGAATACAGCCGTGCCCTGACGACGTGTTGGCGGAGGACGACGGGCATGAAGAAGAAACTGGCGCTGCAGAAGGCAACCCGTCGCAGCGTGACAGCAATGGTAGCAACCGCTCGTGTGTGAAGGTGAGCCGAGTGCGCCACCACACGCTGCGTCTGGGCTTGTCAGCAGGATGCGCTGCCAAGATGGGCAAGCCTGCGTTTATAGGGCTCACGGAAGACGGTGCAAGCAAATGGGAGCAGTGCGAGAGCATCAAGCGGCCACCGGCCTGCTGAAGACCCGCCCGTTCATGGAGCGCCTGCCCTGGGTGGACGTGACCTACTGCAAGTACGGAACTCCGCACAGGAAGCAGACGCGGCTGTGGACCAACATGCGCGAGGTCTGTGCAGGCCCGACAGCCGCTGCGGCGCGTGGCAGGACGGCAGGCACCTCCAGGCGGGGGCCCCGGCTGGACGGCACGATGACGGACCTGTTCATCCACCTGGTGGCCTACCAGCTGGTGACGCTCTCCGGCACGGGCGTCTCGGTGCTGGACTAAAAAAATCCAAAAAAGCCCGCTGCCCTTCAACGCCGTTTTTGGCTACAGGTGGCAGCGCCACAAAAATGACAAAAAAAAGCCCGCTGCCCTTCAACTTCGTTTTTGAAGTTGAGTGGCAGCGCCACACAAATGACAAAAAAGGCCCGCTGCCCTTCAACGCCGTTTTTGGCTACAGGTGGCAGCGCCCAAAAACATGCAAAAACACGGAAAAATGGACTTCTTCCAGGCCCCTCGGATTAGAGAAAGCTAGAACGGCCTAATTCGGAATGCTCAGCCGCTCCGCAAGCTCTGCCGTGGACAGGACCCCAAGGTAGTCCCTTTAGGCGAGAAAGTGGCCATGGACCAACAAGTTCTCCAGCCTCTCGTTCAAGAACTGGGACTCTTAAACACCCTGGAGCTACCAACTCAACACCACCCTTGGGGCTCCCCTCCCCAAAAGCCCGGCCGTGGGCTTCTTAAGAAGGAACCAGTTCTGGCAGCCACTAAGAAAAAACCCTTGCGTAACCCAGGGTAAGGACTAAGGATTATGTTACAAGAGGAAACACCAAACTCACCTTCCGGAGTCACCCCGAAGCCCTGAAAAATTGAATCAGCTTCCCCCCCAAAAAAAAGGGGCCCACCTTCCCCAAGCTCCCCCCCTCGAAGCCCCCCAGGCGCCACGCCTCCTTCACCGGGAAGGCCGCGCCCAGCGCCGCCACCTGCGCGCTGCCCGCGGAGTGCAGCAGCGGCAGGGGCCTCGGAACGCCGTCTCCTTTACTTCCTGCTGCGAGAGATGCAGGGCAGCAATGGAATGATCCTTATTAATGAGAAATGGAAGGAAACCAATCTAAACCAGTGCCATCTACTAATTCAACTGAGATAAAAAGGACGCCTATGTGGGAATGATCCTTATAAACCACCAACTGGTGGCTTCCTTTAAGGGGACCAAAGCCTGGGTTCATTCCCACCTTCCCTACTGAGAACCAGCAAGTTTACTCACTTCTTGAGTGGATTCAAAGAAACGGTATCCTTTAGCTCTGCCCCTACACATACCTAAACTAAATGCCGCAAATCCTCCTGGACGCCCGTTTGCGCGTCCAAAAAGAGAAGCCCCCAAAAGGAGGGTTCCTGAGACATGTTTGGGGGGGATCTTTGGGCTTCGAGCCGCTTCAAGGTTCCCAGATATTTGTATTCGCATTTGCTTGGAACCTTTCAAAACCACTGACGTCAAAACCACGCACTGCATGGAGGATTGCACCACCTTGCCAAGAGAAGTCATTTTTTGCTGCCTCCCGCCCTCGCAAACACTTTGCCAAGTTCCCCACAGAACGCTTTCATCACGTTCCAAAAGCTCGGATTTCCAGTGACTAAATGGTCCAACGCCGGAAAACCAAAGGTCAGAAGAGTTCGTTCCCCTCGAAACGAAATTGACCCAATGAAGTTCAACACCACGAAGGAAAACCACCAGTTGGAAAAAGCTTGATGGAAAAAGCTTTTGAGGGGGCATATATAGGTATCTCAAAATCAGAGGGACCCCCCAAAAAAAAGCGGAAGAGGATGGTTTCCTAATGATGCCCTTTTAGATGCCCATAAGAGGATTCTCAGAGGAAAAACACGCGAACAACTCAAACACAAAAAGAACAGAAGCAACGCAAGAAATACACAAAGAGGTTCGAAAACAACAGACACAAAAAACAGAAAACAAGACAAACAGAAGCAACACTAGAGATACATTTGGCTCCGTCCGCATTTCCATCCCCCTAAACAAAAAACAAAAAAACTTGGCATAGTAGCAAAACATGTTGTTGTTTTTTGCAGCCCCCTTCCATTTGGTTAAGACCCCTGGAAAAAATGTATATTTCCAGTAGTGAAATCGATTCCCGTTGAAACCAACAGGGGATTTGTTTCTTCAACAAAAAAAAAAAACATTTCTGCAAATGGAAGGAACAGTGAAGATCCTTCCGAGCTGCACGATGGCCCGCTGCCCGGCGGGCAAGCCCAGCTGCAGCGCCTGAAGCTCGAGGGCTTCGGAGCTGCGATGTGTCCGTTCTCCGCCCCAAAAGTGACCCACGTTTCTTGGTTTCTGTTGACTGCAAAAAGTGTCACTTTTTTGGGTTTAGTGGAAAACCTCTTGATTTCCCAAAAAGTAAAAGTCCAAAGATCCAACCCAAGAGCAGTCAAGCTTTGGTGGGTGAAATGGACTAGGTCCTCCCGAAGGGTCCAACTATGACCCCTACACTGGAAAGGGAAGCTCTAAGTCCTCCAGATTTGAGATCTTAGAAGAAGTTGGTACCCGATTTTTTGTCTGGGCGATTTTAGTAGGGGAACCCTCCCCCAAAACGGGGTAAAGGGCAGCTGGGGGACCTGGTGAATGATCCCCTACTACGTGACGAACTTTGAGTGGGTGAAATGAACACCCAACCACTAAACCAACTAAAAAGCTCAAGAGCTACGGGACCGGATTGCCGGGCTTGCCACCAACAGTTCTCTACCCTCTTTCCCACAATTCGAAGTGGACAGAGGGCTTCCCCGAAAAGGGGGAAAAAAAGAAAGAAATGTCTTCCCGAACCCGATCGACAGCTTTCATTCTTGTTGGAGGGAGGGTGGAACATTTCCCAAGCTGGCTACCTTTGAAGTCAACTCCAAAGATGTTGATAGTGAAGCTGACCATTGAGACCATGGGGAGATTGCTTTGGAGGGTACCTCCTTGTGCTTCGTTTCAAAACAAAATAGCAAGAAGCCACGCAGGAGACAACCCCTTGTGGGGTTTTCACAAATTTAAGATATCCTTACAGGACACGTCAAGGTGCTTCAGGAATGTGCCCAAAGCGATGGTAGATTCCCAAAGCCCGGCCAGCCTATCAGATACGGTGTGCCAATGAGAAATCGCATTTCTTACTTGCACCACCTCATCAAGATGGTGCCTTCTCAGCCAAACCAACCAACTTGCCGCCGACATGTGTTGCAGCAATGCGTTCCCAAGCATAAAAAGACATAAAAAGGACCCGCCCGCGGTCCTACCAAGTGATTTTCTATCAGTTCACGATCGCGGCCAAAGGCAGGTGGTCTTCTTTTTCCTCCGCTTGCGTTTAGAGCCCCCCGGCAAAAAATCATATCAAAGATGTCCAGTCGTGAAATCGATTCCCTTCAACACCAACAGGGGGAAAAAGAAAAAACGGGTGCTTCTCAAAATTGGAGATGTCCTTTTGGTTTCCCCTTAGAACCATCCAACAACGGGTCCCCTATTTTGGGGAAATGAAAAACAAAGACTCGCTTCAGCACATGGACCGTTTTTCCACGGCCCGTTTGCTGGGCGCTTCCCCTGGGAACTTGGGGACTCGAATGGCGAACCCGAGCCTTGGCAGTCTCGCAGGTGATCCAGCTACCTCGGGCGTTCCATGAACTCGTCTCTTTTTGAGCTGTTTTTTTTGGGGGTTTTCAAAGAGAAACCAAAAGGAACTCCGAAGCCATCCCCGTTCCATGGGCTGGTCTCTTTTTGAGGTGGGAAATGTTCTTTTCGGTTGGTTTCAAAGAGAAACCAAAAAGGAACACCGAAGAAATTTTGGGGCGTGCCCTAAAAAAGACACACCCATGTTGTTACGGTCCAGACCCAACATGCCTTCGAATGGCCTTTCTTTATTTTTCTGCGGAAGGTAATCAAACATAAACTCCGGAGCAACTTCAGAGATATCGCACCTGCCAAACGCAATGACTCTGTGATAGAATTGGGCGAGTGCCTATCCATCAAAACAGCGTGCTCTGCATTTGAACATCACCCCAAAAGGACACTCATCTTACACTGGCCCAAAAGGTGATGCTTACGACCACCTAAGCGGAACTATAGGGAACCCTGAGGTCACCGACGACTATTCAAGTAGATGGGTCATTCCAAGCGAACCCTGACAGTGGCTATCAAGGATTGGATGATCCATATTGCAAACAATCAGGAGCGATCATGTGTTTTGCCGCCTGTCCACTCAGCGCGATTCAATTCGGCTCTCCGCATTGTGGAACGCATCTAAAGACTTGCCGCGCACAGCCCCCGGAACCCTCCCATGTTGTAAATTCTACCCTCTGGTTCTCCTACACTGTTTCAAAAAGGGGATTTTAGTCAGTCTTGTTCCTCCTATTCTAAGAAGTCCTGTGCACTCCTCTTTCACTGGGCATCCGTGCTGGGTGTTGCTGTGACCCTGCAGGCAGTGGCCATTCTGGTGTGTGCATCCTGGCATCGCCAGCATGGATCTGGCAGCCCAATTCTCGAATGTGAAGACTCACTTGCTGAGTGGATGGCCAAAAAAAAGTCCAAACTTTTTATTTACCACTAAAATGGTCTTCCCAAAAAGTTTACAGTTCATGAACTCAGGAAGTGAGAAGATCAGTCAGCAATACTTGATCATAGAGCTTTTCCGATGACCCCCCCCAAACACAACACCGCCCCAAGCACACCTTAAATTTATGGTCTCGATCCCAAGAAAGTGTGTTTGGGAAGGGGGGGCGGGGGTGGCTTTAGGGGGGTCCCTTCATGACAACCAGGTCATATGTGAAATATCTCACCCAAATCCCACCTGATTTTTATTTGCTTGACTAGCTCAAGATGAGCCTCTGGCACAGTCCCCGACCCGACCATGCGGCCAAACTGAGCCTTAGGGTTCAGAGACTCGCCAAGGTGCCCGAGCAAACTCATCAGGCCAGACCCTGTTGTTATTGACCCCCAACCTGTCTCTTTGGACCAACCAAAAGGAAAAAGTCGAAAAACTGGTGTGGGGTTGGAACAACACTTTGAAGGGGGAACACGGAAAACGGCTATTATATTCTCCAACCACAAACCTGTTTTCCGGCAGTGAAATCGATTCCCTTAAAAAAGAAAGAAAGTGCAAAACCAAAACCACATATTTTTCTCTGAACCGCAACTTTGAAAACAAAAAACAAATATATATATATATATATATATATTTTCTGAAACGCAACCGGATGTTGGCTGGACAAACCGTGTCTCCCCAGAGCTCCTTTGCCCTCGCCCCCTCGCCACCGCCGCGTGTCGCGCCTCCCAAAGCCCCGCAGAGATCTCCTCGCTGGCGAGGTCCATCTCCTCCTACGAAGCGGTCCGTTTACATCGGTCCCGCGGTGCACGTGGGGGGGAAATAGCTCCATGCACACATCTACATACATACATATATATATATATATGTATGTATGTCTACATGTATGTATATATATATATATATATGTATACATATGTGTATATATATATATATATCAATATGTATACATGTAGACCATATGTGGATGTATTCAGATATATTTATATATGTTGCATGTATTAGTATAACATTCGAGTTTTACCCACGTTGTATTTGTATTGCGCGCAGTAAAAAACAACCTGGACAGGCAAAAATTGCGCGACTCAGTGGACAGGCCCAAAGGGACGTTTTAGTGTTGCTTCATTTGAAGGACCCGCCGAAATTCTAGTGCTACCTTCCATTTCCATTCTTGCCAGGGATCCTTCTTTCTAGAAAACCTCCAGAAACCCAGGGAAACGGATCCGGTGTTTGAACAGAACGATGGTTGACAAGAATGGTGGAAAAGGAATCAACCCTTAGAAGGTTGGTCATCGGTTGGTCATCCTGGAACCCAAGCAAACGACTAAAAAAAGAAGAAGCACAAGAATGGAAAAGGAACCAACCCCTAGAAAACTCCCTTGTTGACGGTGTTCAAAAGGATACCCTGGGGGCACACGCGACCTGGGGAAGGTGGGAGATCGCCAGGTGGGATGGCGAAATGGAATCAACCCGAGAAATGCGAAGCCGACCCTCGTCCTGCACCAAATACTCCTGGCCCTCCACACTGAAGTCCTGTCAAAAACTCTGACGAACTCACGGCCAGCCGCCGAGTCGCAGCTTCACAACCCGTTGGTATGGTAGCACAGGCGCTTTTTGCCGCCCCCCAAAAATGAATGAACAGAACCAAACAACTACTAAACAGAAAAAGGGCCAAATGCCAAGAACAGTGCAGCTGATGTCTGCAGCAGACCACGGGGAGGGCAACAAGTCAAACCCCGACGTTCCTGGACAACATCCATAAAGTACATTATGAAACGCAAAGCGAGATTCAAGTTGTTACATCATTCCATCGAGAGAGATGTGTTACGTCATTCGTACCAGCGTAGGATTTGTTACATCATTCCAAACTTCCAACTTGCGAGCGTGCAGATGTAGCAAATCTTTGTCCTCCGAGCTAGCTGGGCACCAGCGGCACAAAATGCATTCCCTTCGCACTCGCCCTCACTCCCATTCTCACGGAAGAAAAAACGCCTGGGCGTAAAACATATTTGCGAAACAAAACGTGACACTATCAAAGGTGAATTGAGCCGCGCATTTTTTCACAAATGGGTGGCTTTCTAAAATTGTTCCCCCCTCCTGCCAAAAAGGGAGGAAGAACCAATTCCACGCTTTTTCGGTGAAAACTAGGCACCTTGCGCCACTTCTGCTTCCTTTCATGTGTCCCCCTTGGGGTTCTTCTGTTTTCAGACAAGCTGGCAGCTAGTTGGGTATGATCTGTTTATTGGGGACCCGCTGCTGGAAATCATTGCGGGGATTCATTTCTACCGACCACTTTTCAAGTGGTTCCCACTGAAATTCAACCCAGGTTGCCAACAACAATGTTCCATCAACTTGACGTGGGCAACTGGTCCACGCTATGACCCACGTTCTCCAGGCTGCAAAGCTCCTGGACATTCTGCTTTTCCGGGCAGAGAACGTGCATAACTGGCCGGGGAAGAAGCCTTGGGAAAGCCCAATGCAGCCAGACAGGCAGACAGACAGACAGACAAGCAAGCAAGCAAACACACAAACAAACAAACAAACAAACAAACAAACAAACAGACAGACAGACAGACAGACAGACAGACAGACAGACAGACAGACAGACAGACAGACAAACAGACAAACAGACAAACTGACAAACAGACAAACAGACAAACAGACAAACAGACAAACAGACAAACAGACAAACAGACAAACAGACAAACAGACAAACAGACAAACAGACAAACAGACACAAGCGCGGTTCATCCGCCTTAAGTCCTGCCGGAACGTGTTCGCCCCTTGTGACAACGGGGTCCGGTCCTCTGAGTCTGCGAAGAGCAAGGATGTGGATGTCGCGGAGCAGCAACTCCTTGAGTTCTACAAATGGGCAATTTCATGTTCATAGGTTGGCCGAATGTGTATATATATATATACATATATTATAACAATACATATATATATATATAACAATATATATATATATATATGTATTGTATGTACATATGATTTCACGTTGATTTGGGAATTCGTTGTACATTTCAAAAATTGTAAATGACAAATCATATGTGTGTGTGTGTGTTTCCTTTGGAGGGTACCCTTTTGGCCTGGCTTTAAACGGAAACCAAAATGAACCCAACCCAACCATTTTTGGGGGGTCCCCCAAAAACACGATATGGAGATGCGTCCGGACCAACCCTGTGAGAGCTCAACCCGTCCCGGTGGCGTCAAAGAAGAAGATCCGCAGGAAGTAGCCTGAGGCCTGGCAGCGCCGCCAAATTCATTCAACCTGCGACGATGGAACCCATGGATTTGCAAAACAAATCCGGCGGGGACACATTTTCTGGACTGGATCACGCACAGGATCAAACAAATCATGAGCGCAGCGGCTTCCAAGGAAACCCTTCCCATGGGAAGAACAAAGGGGTGTCTTTTTTTGAGGGGACCCCCCAAATGGCTTCGGTGTCCTTTCGGTTTTCCTTGAAACATCAAAAAAAGGAGGTGAGGCACACCCAAAGGGCGGAATCCACTGGACTGGGGCAAGCGCTTGCCCCACTTCAGCCCCGAAAACGGGCGAGCCTCCAGCAAGCCCTCCGGCAGCTGCAGGCCCCTCTTGGCCATGATGGCGTTGGGGTCGTCCAGGCCAGAGATGGGCCTAAGCGTGCGGCCCTTTGACGAGGCCCTTAGAAGAAGTTGGTACCCGATGTTTTCTTTTTCAGTAGTCTACTTTAGTAGGGGAACCCTCCCAACCAAAAAAGAGGGGTGAGACAGGGCACCGAGCTGGGGGACCTAGTAGTTAACCAAGCGCAAGACCCTTCCTCCCAGAAAACCGCAGGGGGATTGCGGATCCGGTGTTTGGAAAGAATGGAAAGGGAATCAACCAACGAAAGAAAAGAAAGAAGAAGCACAAATGGGATAGCCAACAGCGACTCCCGGAACTCCAGAACCCTAGCCCGGGTTCGCCGCGTCCGGACAAAGCTTTCAGCGCGGCAAAAAAAACAGCAAACCTGTGACCCCCAACCCATTCACCACAGGAGTAGCCCCTTTCAGTGATGTGTTTTGTGGTTATCTCCTTGCAGCACGCAAACGACCAAAAAAAAAAAAACGCTTTGCCACAAGATGGGCCAACATGCAAGGCCGTGCTCTTTCAGTTGCCCAAAAAACATCCGCTTCCCGCGCTTCTCGTCGTTCCGGAGTCCCTGGCTCCAGTTCGGCAGTGAAGAAGTCCCCCAAGTCCGCCACCTGAGCTCATGCCTAGCTTCACTGGTAGTTCGTAGATCCCTTGCTGGATCTTTAAGTGGATACGGTGGATTCCCCCTTCATATTGCAAAGTCAACCACAAACCAGGGGAATTTACTGGGCTTCCTTTGTTCCCTACTTGCAATATTTAGGGCAACAACCGTATGGGGGATCACAAGGTCCGCTACACATGGGATGATCATTGGCTGAACAACTCAAAAGAGGATGTGTCCCACATGAGTGGTGGTCTTTATTCCCTCTGAATTCGCATTCACGTATCACACCCTTCCGCGAAGCTTCCGCGGTGTGAAGGGTACCTTCCGGCAGCTTGGTTCTATAAATTTCTATGTACATGCTTCCGCAGGCCTTTCGCCAGCAAGTTGCTTCGAGAAACTGAGGAAGGTCGCTTCAGCGAGGGGATTCGTGCGCACGGTTTGCTAGGAAACGCGCTTGGCAAACACCACCCAAACGAAATCAAACCACTCTGTGCTGCTAGCACCTCTTTTGCTTCGACGGAGACGCGATGGGCTGCAAGGCGGGCGCTACGGCGGGACGAAAATGACGAGCTGCTCGAAGATGAGGAGGGCGCCTCTTCCGCGCAGCTTGCCGGCTCAGCTGTGGCGCCTTCAAGGACATCCGCTCCTCTAAACTTCTCACAGGCTGCAGATCTGCTTCTCCACAATGCCTAGAGTCTCCATCACCCTTTAAAAATGGGGTCATTACCCTAAATACTGGGGTCATGGACCTATTTTTCAAGGGTCATGGAGACTCCACGGCCTTGCTTTTGCGAGGCAAGCTTTCTCGTGACGCTGTTCACATTGACCGGTTCAGGGCCGGATGCCTCCCACGTCCGACGCTTATCATGAGAATCTTCCCGTGGCCACTCCGCAGCCTCTTCTGCGACATCGTCATGGGAACAGTTACCCATGGTCATTTGAAGGCCAGAAAATATTCTAGGTCCTCCAGTAGAGAGGTTAGAATAAGGGCACCCATTTTTTCTGTAGTCTATTTTAGCCAAAAAAGGGACCTAGATGTGGATCAAGAGGTCAAAACCCGCGACATGACTTGGCACAGGAAGCCAAATGTAGTACTCATCCACTGGGATGCCCCCAGCTTTCTGGACTGGAAATCAGAACCCAAGGTAAAAACCATCTGCGCAAGCCCTCCGGCGCACTGGTGTTGCCCTGATCCAAAGTTGCACGTCCTTACCTTTCTTTTTTCTTTTTTTTTTTGGGGGGGGGGGGGGGCGAAACAAAGCTCACCTAAACCAGCGGAACCCGTCGATGTTCAATCAACCGATCAAAAGGACACCTATGCTGGCAAGAACGCTGTTTGTTGGAGCCCCTTACTAAAAATGAACAGAACCAACTCCAAAAAAAACACTTGATCCAAGAACAGTGAAGACACCTATGCAAACAAGCTCCAACAACCGTTTCCCGGACAACCCGAGCTCCAGCTTTCCCGCCTCCTGGCCGTCAAAGGCGTCCACTTGGCGCTGTAGCAGCTTCACCCGGAAGAAGCCGCTCAGGCACAGCCCCGTTGCCGCCTGACTCGAAGGGGTTCCGGGGACCCAAATGGGGGGCCCGGATGGGCTTGGAAAAACGAGGTCCATCCAGGCAGAGACATGCAGATGCAGAGTCAAAACAGGTTGGAAAAGCGGACGGATTTCTTCGAATGGGCTCCAAATCGGATGCATGTTGGGGTTCCGCTCGCGGGAAAAAGGGTGGGGGTTGGGAACACGGGACACGGTACCAATAAAGACATTGTTGGGATTGGTTTTCATTCTATGCTGTCCAGAAGAGGCTTGCAATTTCTTCTTCTAATCTGTCTTAGATACATCTGAATTGTTCCGTCAGACACCCCGCGAATCGGGACTAGCTTGGAATCAGACTGGCAGTCTCCCTATATGGGAGACCGCTTTGATGGCTCTGTGTCTGCGAGATGTTGATGGTCCACATCAACCCCAAGCAAGCCTCTAACCAACCAAAGTGGGGTCTCCATACTGGTTCGCAGTAAGTATTTCCGTTCAACACCCGACCAGAGTCATTTTTGGATTGGCCAATCCAAAAGGTCTAAAACCAGAGTCGCGAACCTAGGAAGCACCCCCCCCCCTCACAACTGCTTCTTCAACCATGTCCACAATCCCCTTGGTACGATGACCAAAAAGCCGTGGCTGCTATGGACCCGGGTTCTGGTAGGGAGCCCTATTTTGAGCACACCCCATGTGTCTTTTTGTTGGTGCCCGTTCTATGGAGTTCATCGCTTGTCAGGGCTAACTGCCTACCTTGGGGTGGGGGAAAAACTGACAACTTCCATCCCCTCTTGCTTTCTTTTAAGGCAACTCCTACATGTTCTATGATCTATGTGCTAACTCTTTGGCACCCCACCTACGAAGCTTAAAAGAAACGCTGAACTCAGACACTCCAAGCCTTTTTGCTCCCCCCCCCCACCCCCAAGGTCCACCGCGTTGTTTGATCATCGGCTCCCCCCAAGCGCCGGATCGATCGACCGCGCCGAGCAGTCGCCGTACTCTGCGTCCAGCTGCCGCAGTGAGAGGCCCCGTACCGTGAAGCGCGCGGAGATCTGGGCGCCCTGCGCCGACTTTCTTCCACGCGCGCGAGCTCGCGCTCGGGTGAAATGAGTCACTTGCCCAAAACCCGGAACTTAAAATGGTCGATTCCCAGAACAAGGCGGCCGCAACTGTGTCTAGAACTGCCCCTTACCTTCATCTACCCGGGTTTTGACTGTGGCTCAAATGGGAGGTCTCTCGAAATCGGAATCGAGTCATTTCCTCCATTGGGAAGGAGTTCGTTGCAGAAGGGATGAGAGTTCAGACTTCTGACCATGTTGGTCAAGTATTGCCGAGAAAACCTCGCATGCGACCGCTGCGCTATCACATGAACTCAAAATGTACGATGTGGTAAACCCACAAAAACGGGCTCCAGGTGTCACACATGTCCAGCTCGTATACTTTTTGTTCACCCGCGCTTTTCCCAAACAGCTCTTTTGGGCTCTTTGCAGATCCCCAAACAGATTTATAAAAACAAATCGCGGCCTCCATGGTGTGTCTCGTCTCCACCAGGGAAACATGCCCTCCCTTCATTGCTCAGCCAGCGCGCAAGAGACTGTCAATGCCCGGGGCAAGAGACTCCCGGGATCGGGGAGGGTTTTTGGTTCCCTCACCAAGTTGGACAGCCTGTGCCACCATGGTCAGCTTCGGAACTTGATCATCCCACTAAATGTCTCACATTTCGATGGAAAGCCCACTCCAGAATCGATCCAACCAATCTGAGGTACTGTGGATGGTTGCGAAATCCGTTCGCACCACTTTAAAATCATGGTTGAAACCGTTGTTGGTTAGTATTTACAGGGGAATCGAATCATTCCAGGGTTTCTTAGGTGGTGCAGGATTTCGTCCATCCACAGTATGACACGGTTTCATGCTGAAGAAGCATATGGTCTACAATGCCACCGAACCTTTGAGCGGAAGTCTGGGAAGTTCACCCGGCTCATCTGGGTGGATTTGAGTTCGCATTGCATCCCTTGGCGTGACATTGTTTAGAGGTGGAGGAAGTTGCAATCTGTCGGAAATCACACACCATTGGCAATGCAACAAGTTGTCACACCGCGAGAAAACGCACTCGCTCACTTCTGAAACAGACATGTCTACAAGTGCCAGCAGGGTGCTCCATTCCCAAAGGCTTCCTCCACCTCATTCCTCTAAGTCTCTCTCCTTCCATTTCCGGCTAGGCCACGAATGGGAGTTGCCCCCCCCCCCCACGAAAAAGAAAAGGTATGTGTCAAAACTAAGGGACCCCTTTGAATGCTAATGTTCCTTTGGTTTTTCTCTTGAACCACCCTATTGCAGGGTTGAGGGATTTCTTGCAGAACAGCAGAACACCAGCTGGGTGAGTTGATAAGCTGGAACGTTCAACAGTTGCCCATGGGAGGAATGGCAACGGCTTGGTCGTCTAGATAGGGGTTTGTTTGGCTTTTGGCGTATTTGTGGGATTTTGTTGATTCTGTCTTTGCTTGCTTGGTTGCTTGCGTGCTTGCTTGGTTGCTTGCTTGGTTGCTTGCTTGCTTGGTTGCTTGCTTGCCTGCTTGGTTGCTTGCTTGCTTGCTTGCCTGGCTGGCTGGCTGGCTGGCTGCCTGGCTGGTTCGTTTCTTGGCTGCCTGCACTCCTTGCTGGCTCAGTCTGCTCGCGGACGATGGTCGTGTATTTCTTGTGACACTTCTTGTATTTTAGGGTTTGTTTTGTGTTCTGCTACAGACCTTTGTTATGTTTCTGCCGTGTTTCTTTTGAAACATGCTGAATTCAAAGAGTCGTTGGTCCAAACCTGCCTCTGAAAGCCCTTGGCTAAACAACGAGCCGCATATTCCTGGATAACCATTTCTCCTCAGCCCACAACCGGAAACTCCGCAGGTGCCAACACAAAGATCTGAGTATCTGCATTTCACCTGTGCCTTCTGTGCCAGTTGCCTCGCCCGGAGTGTGTAGTCAAGCATCACTGGTCAGCCCAAGCAATCCGCGAGCTCAATACTATGGAGTTGATCCGCCATGCCCACCTCGCAGAGTGCGTTGGCATCCACGGCGGAGGGGCATTTCGTGGCGTCCTGGCATACCCACCTAACAGATACCAAGATAAAAGCTGAAGGGTGCCTGAAGCGAGGAAAACGGGGGTGTCGTTTTGCTGATGCTACCCCATTTGGTTGGTTCCATTACCAAAAGGAAACCAACCATTTTGGGGGGTCCCTACAAAAAGACACGCCCAAATGGTGTTCAAGACCCTTTCAGGTTCCGCGCTCAAAATGGCGGTGTGTACTTTTTAGCAATGATAAATCTGCCTCAGCAGAGGCAGTGATGGTTTCACGAGTTGCATAGCGACCGGGTGAGGCATAGAATGATTTGAGTACAGTCAACAAATCCTTCAGAATCAATGACCTCAGCGATCACTCACCATGAGGGTGATCAACTTGCCAGCATTTCGTGAGCTCCACACTATCTCACTGACTACTCTACTAAGTAGGCTCAGCCATGCGACCTGAAGACCAGCATGTCGGAACGCATGCCACTTCGGTCAGGTGTACAGGATTCTATCAAGCACCATACATCCCACAAAGATTGCGGTAGAGCGTCCGGACAAGTCCGCGGGAGGAATCAAGCCCATGGATTGGTCGTTGCTTGAGGCACGACACAGCGCAACAGGCCCATGCTCCAAACACTGCCCCCACCAAGCCATCTCCTGCAGATCGAGCCGTGCTGCCAGCCGTGCCTCAAAAAAGAAGAAGCGAAGCTCGGCGTTTTCCACGCCCCCAACACTGGCAGCTTTGGAGCGGCTCGCCAGGTTCCGGTTCCCTCTCTTGAAAGAGAAACCAGCCAGCGGAAACCTGATGAACAACTGACCGCGTGAAAACCGCCAGCGGTTCAGTTTTACTCGAAAATCACTCGCTGGGGGCTTCCACGCTGTTCATCTGCCATAGGCTGTGAGGTTGAGTCTTCCTTTCTGGGGGCCCTCCTTTTGGGTTCCTAAGTTGCGAGGGGGCAAGATCATGTGGCGCACAAAGTCCCCTGCACCCTCGCCTCGTCTGTGTTGCAGGCAGGTACCTGTTTCTTGTTTGGCAACATTTGTCAGCGGCCATGGGTCAAAAGAGCCCAGAAACAGGGTTCCCTGTCTCACATCAGATCACCCGAACAGAAAAACAAGGGACACATTGGCCAGACCGCCCCTGCATGCCCCTCCCCCTGCCCTTTTCTCACCTCGCGCAATCCCCCGTGCAATACTGCAAAATTTGACAACTGTACTTCACCAAGCTGAATCTCCTGTTGGCTTGGTGCATTGCGGCGTTCAACCTTCATTGGGTAGCAACACAACACCTGGAATGGATTTGACATAGAAAGCAACATGCGTGTTGACCACTGGAGAAAACTGGATTCGGCTCATAATGTATAGTGAGGTCGGCAAGCAATGTCAAATGCGTAGTTGTTGCGCACAACCTCCTGACTGAGAACAAGCGTGAAAACCGCGGGACAACTTCCAAGACCAGCTTCATCGTCGAGCGCAGTCGCGCAAATGAACCAGTGGGAAAATGTTCCACAGTGTCTGCACGGCCGCGGCTGTGCACGCAAGTTTTTGGTACATTAGCTACGAACATCCCCGCAGAGAATCGTGTGCGCACATCAAACACTAGCAAAGATCCGCAGTTTTGGCACATCGACCGCGAAGATCCCCCAGAGGATCGCGCGCAAACCAAATTTAAAGTAGTAAAAGTCAGGTTCGTTCCCACCACGCCGCCCTAAAGAAATCACTTTACTTTCTGGTCCACATTTCTCTGGTCCACATTTCTCGGTGTCTCGCGCAAGCTTTTCTCGTGCAACTCGCGCGACCCATTGCGCTGCTTGCTCTGCGAGTGCTCTTGCTACCTGCTCAGGATATCCTTTCGTGCATCTTGCTTTGCATATCCTCTTATGCATCTTGCTCTGCAGGCACTCGCATGCTACTTCCTCCGTGTGTGATTGCACATCTTGCCCTGCGTCTGCCCGCTATTTGCCTGATCTCGTGTATCTTGCTCCGCATGTGCTGTGTGTCATTTGGCTGCGTGATGCAGCTAGCGATTGTACCGGAAGAACGCTTCGCAATGCTTTCAGGAGGAACGTATGGCGTCCGACATCATTGGTGCACGGAAAAGCCTGTTCAGCTCGCGTCTTCAGAAACTGGTCTGCTACATTGCATCCACGTGCCAGCAAAGCTGCGTCTGGTCACCTTTTATACAAGACACAACACCCGGCCGTGTGTCATACCTTGGGTCCGACACATGGCTCGGTTAGCTGAGTCTGTCTGGGGATTGCACGCCTCAACGTATGGCTCCTGATTTGGGGAAACCACTTCACGAAATCCATCCTGAGGCGTGGTTGGACAAATGGCTTCCGGCAGTCAACCTGAAACGGCAAGCTTCCTCAGCTGCCCAGTCTGAGTTGGTAAATTCTGCGTCGTTCAACCTTCTTTGGACAGCAACACACGATTTAACATGAAGAGTAAGAAGATGGAAGAAAGCGGACAAAAGCAACACTCTGGTTGACGACTGACGAACACTGGGTTCGGCTCTTGCAAACAAACAGTTTTGATAAATAATTACAAGACTTGATGGCTTGAAATTGAATTGGTGACACTCTTTCAAAAACCTGGCTTTCCTCTTTGCCAACATTTGAGGTCATGGAAGAAACACGGAAAACGCAGAGGGAAGGTAGCAGCCCACCGCATTCTTGGGCTTCTACCAGACCTCAATCTCACTGGGAATCATCGCTTTCTCGGACTCGTTGCTCGCGCTTTGCCTGACAGAGGTCGGGGGTTGGGCCAGGGGGCAAGGACCTTCCCAGGCTGTCAAGACCCAAATGGCAACCATACCTTGGGGAAGGTTTCGAGGCAAACGGACAGTCGGGCGTGTCTTTCTTTCGACGCAACACCCCATTTTTTTCGCTGGGTTTTTTCCCAAAAGGAGAACCCAGCAATTTGGAGGGGTTCCACTCCAAAACAGGAGCAATTAAATCTTCAGACCGCCGCCGCCCCAGCAGTTTCCGGATTCTTCCTTTGGTTTTCCCCAGGGCTTTTAGGAGTTTCCAGGGGCTTCCAGGTTGGCTTCCGGGTTGGCTTCTTGCAGGGCCCTTGGGCCCCCCCTTGGAGCGCCCTTGGAGCGCCAGCGGAAGCGCGCCAGGCGCGCCTCTGGAGCCACTCGAAGGCCTGCGCCAGGCAGCGCTCGAAGTCCTCCAGGGAGCAGGAGGGCACCAGCCGCTGCTGGCACCCGAAGTCCCAGCCCGAGCAGGTGGCGTCGATTAGGCAGATGCTCCTGAGACTTCGACAAACTCTTTTCGTCCCGCTGTGCGGCGCCCCATGTTTTTTTTGTTGGAGGAGAATCTAATCCCCGCCTTTGGTTTTGGTAGGACGAGAATCCTGACTGAGACTTCAGTTCTTTTCAGCCGCTCTGGCGCCCGCCCCTGGTTTTTTGAGGAGAATTTACCCCCCCCCCTTTTTGGTAGGACGAGAAAATTGGTGCTTTTCTTTTCCAGTCCATGTGTGTAGTTCCCCCCCTCTTGTTTGTAGAAACTTGTTTTTTCATCTGGTTTGGTGCGGCTCCCTTTGTTCTTTTTTAATTTGGGGGTACCCCTTGTTTGGTCGTTTTGGAAAAGGAAAACCGAACGGGAAAAAAGAGGAATAAAATAAGCTCAGGCGATATCCCCAACAGCACCCCGGGACCCACCTCACGGCCTTGTAACTTTATGAAGCAAAGCTAAGAGCGACAGCACAATCGCGCCCTGATCGGGGCCCGACGGCACAATCAAAGCCCGATCGGGGCCCGGGCCCGATGGTGCAATCGGGGCCCGACGCGGCCCGAGCGGGGCGCGACGGTGCAATCGGGCCCCGACCGGGGCCCAATGGTCAAGCGGGCTCCCACCAACCCCAGCCACCCATATGAAAACTGAACGCCGGCTTTCCTTAGGATGCAGCCTTAATTGTATCTAGCAAAACTAGGCGATGCCAGCTTGGTAGTTGATTGGGCCCGATCAGGGCCCGACGGCGCAATCGGGGCCCGATCAGGATCGGGGCCCGGTCGCAAACCGTTGCGTGAAACTTTGTTGGAACCTTCCTCAGGGCTGCCCAAGTGCTTTTGCAGAACCTGGTGGAAAACCTTGTGGAGCGCTTTTGGAATTTTATTCCGAACCCAAAGCACAAAGTAATACTCAGTACTGCCAAGCATTTACTGTGCTACACAGTGAGTTTGCCACAAAGCCAACGCGTTGCCTGAGCAAGTGAGCAAGTGACAAAACAGTGAAAGTGTGCTGAAAACCATTGATTTCGGTTTTGCTTAGTGTTCCGCCTATGAGCAAAGCGACCTTCTGAGCCCTCAATTTACTGCTCCGATGGCTTTTCAGACGGTGGGCGCACGACACATTGCTTCCTTGCAGAACATTTGTGGAACTTGTGGAGCGTTGTGGAGCCTTGTGACCCTTGTCCGGAACTGCTGTGAACCCTTACCTCAGGGCCGGACCATCCCACAGCCCGTGGAACCCTGAAACTCTCATGGAACCCGCGCAGCCTTGCTAGACCTCGTGAAACCTTACTTTGCGCAATCCGGTGAAGCGTGGTTGACCCGCCCTTGCAGAACCTGGTGGACCCTGGTGGAGTTACCTGCTAAAACCCTGGCGGAATTCTCTCGTGGAGCCTTACCTCAAACCACCCCGGACCACCCCGCAGCTCTAACCCTCGTGGAACCTTACCTCAAACCACTTCGGACCACCCCGCAGCCCTCGCAGAACCTGGTGGAAACCCTGGTAAAACCCTCGCGGAACCTTACCTCAAACCACCCCGCACCACCCCGCAGCGCTTGACCCCGCAGCCCTCACAGAACCTGGTGGAACCCGCAGCCTCGCATGGAACCTTACCTTGCAGAACCTGGTGGAACAGTGGAACCCTTATGGAACCTCACCTCAAACCAACCCGGACCACCCCGCAGCCCTTGCAGCTGGTGGAACCCTGGTGGAACAACGGTGGAACCCTCGTGAAACCCTTGTGGAACCTTCCTCAAACCAGCCCGGACCACCCCGCAGCCCTTGAAGAAATTGGTGGAACCCTGGTGGAACCCTGGTGGAACCCTGGTGGAACCCTGGTGGAACCCTCGTGGAACCCTCGTGGAACCTTACCTCAACCACCCCGGACCACCCCGAAGCCCTTGCAGAACCTGGTGGAACTCTCTCGTGGACCTCAAACCACCCTGGGGGAACGGTCGCCCCGAACCACCCCGGAGCCTATCTGGGCTGAGACCCCAAAGCTTTCAGCTGTTGGGGAAAAAAAACGACCCGATGCCCATCCTGGGAATTCGCATGGTTTTCGCAATTACAAAAAACAACATATTTATCGACTTGGATTTTGCCTGAAGGATAGGCAAGTTGGGCTCCCTTGTAGCCCTTTCCAAGGCGAATCAACAGTTGGGACATCAAAAGCAAGCGCGAAATTCGCAGTTCCGAATTGTATATGACTGTTTCTTGCCAGGCTTTGGACCCCGACACGGATGGGCTGTCCTTTTTGCTTAACGCTACCCCCAGAAAAAAACATGGAGCCACACCCAGTTTGAGCGGGAAACAATGCCAAAAACGGCCGACGGCAGCTAGAACGGGATCTGATTCACCTGCCAGTGGGATCCAAAGAAGGCCCGGAAGCTTCCAACGCTCTTTGCAGAAAACCATGCAAAAACCCTGGGGGAAACCGCTGGTTTTTGACAAGAAGGATGGTTGAAAAGAATGGGTGGAATGGATCCCTAGACTTTTTATGCTCCATTACATGCATTCAGGGATCCGTGCAAGTCGGCCAAGAAAATCCACGAGAAAGGGGCCATGGCCAACCACAAACCGCCCCACCCAGAAGCTTGGTTTTAACAAGAGCTGAGCATCCAGAAAGGGATTCAAGAGGCAACAGGTTGATTCCAGTAAAGAGTTCCATTGGATTAGGTAAAAGTGCGATAATTTGAAGGTCAAATTCTTCATAGTCGATCAACCTTGCAAAAGCATGCCTCAATGGGCTCTGACAAAGCGTCAGGGAACAAATCTTAAATCCATCTGAGACTCTCGCTATGCTCCAGCTCTTGCAGCCATGCGATCTGATCGATGATGACCACTGCGGCGTTCGTGGAAGCATAGTCCATCAACTCCGACATGCTGTTGCAATCCACCGGCTGGATCTTGCATTGCCTGCAGAAGCGTTGGAAGATGAAGTGGGTGGCAGTACCTTCCTGGATGGCAAGAACCACTCTCGGGTGGAAACTGTCCATCGCTAACTTCCTGTCCGGCTGAATTGACTTGAGCCCTGCGCGGCATTTTTGCCAAGTGTCACGAGACTAAGACGCCTAACTCACTGAGAACCTCTTGCCGCGATCTGAGATCTGCTCTTTCCGGCGCGAAAGAGCAACGTCCGAAGCAACTACGAGTCAATTCACCATGGGATAAAACACCTCCGGGCCACCAGCAGGGTAAAAAAATCACCTCCAGCTTGGTGGCCTGTTGATTGAAACCATCCAACATGGGGTCCCCTCATAGGTGTCCTTTTGGAAAAGATGGGTCTCCCTGGCAACTGGGGCACAAAACCAATCTAAACCAGCGGAACGCATCTATTTCTAAGCAGAATGGCCAAAAAGGGACCTATGCGCCCCATGTGTGGGCCTCCAGTAGAGAGGTTAGAATAAGGGTACCCCTTTTTCTGTAGTCTATTTTAGTAGGGAACCTCCCTCAAAAAAGGGTAAAAGGGCACCACCGGGGGACCTAGTTACTGACTCGCCGTTTCCTTGAGACAAGCCCAGTCAAGCCGCTGTGCTCTCTTGCCCCTGTGCTCGGCTCGCGGCGCATTTCCCAGTGGAGTGGCCACCGCAACCCACACGAGCCTCAGCTTTCCCAGCGTATCCTGCGTGAAGGGCATCTAGATCCTCTACCATAGAGGTTAGAATACGGGTGCCAACTTTTTTCTGTAGTCTTTTTTAGTAGGGGAACCCTCGCCCAAAAAGAGTAAAAGGGCACTGCTGGGGGACTTAGGCATAGGGTTCAAAATAGGCATGTCGCATTCTTTGGTTTAAATCCACCCTTTTGGAGGTTTTTTTTAAGCGGAAAACCAAAAGGGGGAAAAAGAAAAACGAGACCCATTTTGGGGGGGGTCCGACCTCAAAAAGACCCACCCAAATTTCGGCGTGGCCGTGCGGTTCCGAGATCTGCGCGGGGCCCGGTTTACCCCCCATCGGATCGGCCATGCTCATAGACATTGGCCAAGAAACCAGCCAACCAACCAAACACACAAACAAGCAAGCAAGGAAGCAAGTAATACACAAATGAATAAACAAATAGCTAACTAACTAAATAAATAAACAAATAAAATATAAATAAACAAGCAAGCAAGCAAGGAAGCAAGTAATACACAAATGAATAAACAAATAGCTAACTAACTAAATAAATAAACAAATAAAATATAAATAAACAAGCAAGCAAGCAAGCAAGCAAGCAAGCAAACAAACAAACAAACAAACAAACAAACAAACACACAAACAAACAAACAAACAAACAAACAAACAAACAAACAAACAAACAAACAAACAAACAAACAAACAAACAAACAAACAAACAAACAAACAAACACACAAACAAAACAAAACAAAACAAAACAAAATAAATAAAGCAAAACAAAACAAACAACAAACAAAACAAAACACTACAAAACAAAACAAAACAAAACAAACAAACAAACAAACAAACACACCGGGCCGGCTTGTATGAAGGCTCATGCCAGGATACCCTGGCAAAATCCCAGCACTTCAACAGGACAGCCTGAAAACTTTGATTTGAGAGAGTCCGTTCGACGCGGAGCTGCAGAATCATCCGCTTTCTGCCAAGAACTCCAACCGCGCGTGTCTCTTCTTTGGGTCTCCAAAAATGGTTGATTGCTGTTTGGGTTGAAAATCAACCTGAAGAAAAGACACCCCCTGTATAAGGTTTGTTTTCACCTTTGGTTTCCCTTTTACCACAACACCAAGGGCACTATCCAAACAACCGGCTGAACCTCAGCCGAGCCCAGCGCCTCCGCTGGCGAGTTTTCGGAGCTGAGGCTCCGCGCCATCGGCGCTTTGAGATGAAACCCATCTGCCTCCTCCTCAACCGCGTCCGTGCAGGCGTCGCAGCCGAGGCACGCTTCCAGGAACTGGCCCGGGCCCATGCGCGCTCCAAAACCCGCCCCAAAACCGCCCGGTGATTCAGAAACCGCGACGCTTGCCAGGCAACACATGGATCATGGATGGCCACCTCATGAAGGGTTCTATTCATTTGTCCGGGCCTTCACTGATGGGCAAAAAAAAAGGAAGGAAGCAATCATGACGATGACGACGACGACAACGACGATGACCGTGGTGGTGGTGGTGGTGGGTGGGTGGGTGGGTGGGTGGGTGGGTGGGTGGGTGGGTGGGTGGGTGGGTGGGTGGGTGGTGGGTGGGTGGGTGGGTGGGTGGTGGTGTGGGTGGGGTGGGGTGGGTGGGTGGGGTGTGGTGGGGTGTGGTGGGGTGGGGTGGGTGGTGGTGGGGTGGGTGGGGTGGGGGGGGGGTGGGGTGGGTGGGGGTGGTGGGTGGGGTGGGGTGGTGGGTGGGGTGGTGGGGTGGGGGGTGGGGGTGGGGTGGGGTGGGGTGTGGGGTGGGTGGGGTGGGGTGGGGTGGGGGTGGTGGGGTGGGGTGGGGGGTGGGTGGGTGGGGTGGGGGTGGGGGTGGTGGGGTGGGTGGTGGGGTGGGTGGTGGGGTGGGTGGGGTGGGGTGGTGGTGGGGTGGGTGGTGGGTGGTGTGGTGGGGTGGGGTGGGTGGTGGGGTGGGTGGTGGTGGGTGGTGGTGGGGGTGGTGGGGTGGGTGGGGTGGTGGTGGGGTGGTGGTGGGGTGGTGGTGGGGTGGGTGGTGGGGTGTGGGTGGTGGGTGTGGGTGGGTGGTGGGGTGGGGTGGTGGGGTGGTGGTGGTGGTGGGGTGGGTGGTGGGGTGGGTGGTGGGGTGGTGGGGGTGGGTGGTGGGGTGGGTGGTGGGGTGGGTGGTGGGGTGGGTGGTGGGTGGTGGTGGGTGGTGGGGTGGTGGTGGGGTGGGTGGTGGGGTGGGTGTGTGGGGTGGGTGGTGGGGGTGGGTGGTGGGTGGGTGGTGGGTGGTGGTGGGGTGGGTGGTGGGGTGGGTGGTGGGGTGGGTGGTGGTGGGTGGTGGGTGGGTGGTGGGTGGTGGTGGGTGGGTGGTGGGTGGGTGGTGGGGTGGGGTGGGTGGTGGGGTGGGGGGTGGGGGTGGGGGTGGGGTGGGGGTGGGGTGGGGGTGGGGTGGGGGGTGGGGTGGTGGGGTGGGGGGTGGGGTGGGGGTGGGGTGGGGGGGGGGTGGGGGTGGGGTGGGGGGTGGGGTGGGGTGGGGTGGGGGTGGGGTGGGTGGGGTGGTGGGGTGGGGTGGGGTGGGGGGTGGGGTGGGGTGGGGTGGGGGTGTGGGGTGGGGTGGGGGTGGGGTGGGGGGTGGGGTGGGTGGGGGGTGGGGTGGGGGTGGGTGGGGTGGGTGGGGGTGGGGTGGGGGTGGGTGGGGTGGGGTGGGGGTGGGGTGGGGGGTGGGGTGGGGGTGGGGGTGGGGGGGGGTGGGGTGGGGGTGGGGGTGGGGGGTGGGGTGGGGGGTGGGGTGGGGTGGGGTGGGGTGGGGTGGGGTGGGGGTGGGGTGGGGGGTGGGGTGGGGGGTGGGGTGGGGGGTGGAGTGGGGGGTGGGGTGGGGGGTGGGGTGGGGGGTGGGGTGGGGTGGGTGGGTGGTGGTGGTAGTGGTGGTGGTCTAAAGCAGCGGGCGATTGCCAACAAATAGTTGTTGAAAGACCTGCCATCGATTGTGCTTTGTTGCAGGGCTCAAGGAAGGGACCCACGGACAATCACTGGCAAGGCCTCAAGAAAACAAGAAGAAAAAATACATAAACAAAATCCGCCAGTTCTCTTTGTGCCTAAGAGATTCCCGGGTCAACGTGGAGCACCGTTTCAAGTCCAACAAATCTAGGTCCAACGTGTTTTCGTGTCACCCTGGGGAAGTCGAAGAACGGCAATGTTTAAGCACTTAGATCATTTTCCTGGGCCCGTTTTCAGATCCACTCAAAGTGACGAAAACTTTTAGTGGGTTGAATTCGGAAATCCAACCACTTAACACTAAGAAGCTAAAAGGCTGGGAGCCAAGCTTCGGAGACTCTTTCGTCATCTCTCTCTTCACTGAAACCTGCCAGTCCCTCATCAATCAATTAGCCGGCCTCGTACTTGCCTTTGGGGCACTCCGTGCAGACCTTAGCAAAAGGAGTCAAGGTGCGTAATTTTTGCAAGGTTCCCTTTCAAACCACAGCCGTTGACACCAAAGGGAAACGCTGCTTTTGGAGCTTCATGTTAGGACCAATGCTGCCAATGCTCATTACTCTAATTGAGAGTTGTGCGAAGGCAACATGGGTGGTACCCTCTATTGCCATGACCATTTGTCAGAAAGTCGTTCAAAACAGAGTAGATATGTTGGCAACGTGTTGGTCGGCCAAGTGATGAAACTTGTTTGCTACGCAGCAACCCAGTGATAATTGATGAATCTCGCATCAGGTTTCCCACTGTCAAAACTGACCAGTCCTCCACAACGGTGCGAGCAACTTGAAGGTCCAGGTCCCGCAATCGATAGCCGAAAGTTATCATCAGTCGATTTCGGTCATGATCTAAACCTGGCGCATAGGAATCTACTCAAAACGGTGCTTTCAGAATCAAGGGGTGGCGGGCGCACCCGCTTTTGAAGCCTGGGGCGTGATGGCTCATTTGACCATGGCACAGCCTTTTTTTCGCCCACCAATCACAAGAAAACTAGACACAAAAACCGTTGGAGAAGCAGGCACGTTTACACATTGTCAGGCGCCCGCACCCCAATTTGCTGGCCACCGCAGCCGTGCCGGGTCTCACCCTGGCACGTTGATGGCTGAGGAAACATCAAGTTCTTGGATAAATGTCACAAAGGCACATGCGGCCCAGTTTATTAATAGGGGGGTGTTGCTGGGTTTAGTGGAGAATCATCTCCTTTGGATGGGAACAAACTGGGGTTGATTAATATGGGGTCAACATTACGAACTCTAGTGGGGCAATCTTTGGTTTTCCATCGTTTACATGCGGATTTATATCCACCTAGCCCTTTTGACGCTCCAGACACCTGAAACTTCACAGCCATCACTGCTGTAGCTTTCGGCACGAAGCAAAAAGAGACCTCAGGAGTGCTGTGCAATGAACGAAGAAAGACTTGGACGT